GAGTCCTTCAGAAACTGCTATGATCTACAGTGACAATCTCTGCACCTAATTCACAGATTATTGACAAGCACCGTGGGCTCAGTGGTGTCAAGTTGTACTTGTGGTGTCAACACCCTTCAGCAACCCACATAGCAGCTGGGCCCTGGATTAGGACCCAGATTCTGCCAGAGCTTATCGGCCTGTTGAGTGGTAGAGAGATGAGTATCTGTCTATATCTCAGCTCCCTCAAGCCGGGCTGGGCTTTCTCCCTGGCGCCTTGTCTGTCTCAGGGTTGGGTCAAGGGAACGATAAAGGCTCTTCAAAGCTTAAAAACAAAGCAAAAGAGGACATTTAATAAATGAGGGCTCATCCTTGAACCTTGGTCTTAATAATCAATCAGTCATCAATCATCTTCTCCACCCCCAAATAGTTACCAAACTCCAAGCCACATACCTCGACTTTCATAGTGAGGCTTGGGTTCATCAGGAAGGGCTTGAGGTATGGAGGGGAGAGGGGAGAGGGAACTTGGCACAGACTCAGTGGGCCCAAGCTAGCACAGCCCATCCTCCAGGATTGCCCTCTGAATGGGGCAAGATTGACTACTTGTAAAGCAGGGCGCTCAGCCAAGAGGCACATTTGGACGCTGAGACAAGAGACCCCAAATGTCCGCTCCACCCCTAAAGGGCTCTTTGCTGCTGCAGAAAAACACGGCCCGTTGCCAGCCCGGGTGGTTTTGCCTGCTTCTAAGGAATCAGTCACTCGCTGCCCCCTCCCCAGTCCCCAAAGATGGAAGGGCTGCCTTCCCGCTGGCCGCCCGTGGGGCGTGGGATTCCGGCAGGGGCTGAGGCCGCCTGAAACCACAGAAATGACACTGCGCTGGGAAAGCTGGGTGGCATTCCCAGGCCTAGGCCACCCACTTCTTTAGTTCTCTTTCATAAACTAGGGGTTGCGCTTTCTCCCTGGGCCTGGGAAGTTGGGGACACACAGCCCGCCTGCAGCCAGGTGCGGCTCCGCCCCCACCCCCCAGGTTGGGACCCCCGGTGGCGGAACGGGGTCGACATCTCCGGGGCACCGGTATTGCAAATTCGACATCACTTCCGAATAGCAGGCATGTATCCCCTTTCGCGGGTCGCCTCCAAGATTCTGCTGGCTTTGGCCTCCCCACGCCACCGGCAGCCTTGGACCGCGGCTGTCACGCACCGTTTGTTGGCGCTGGTTCCAAAACTGGCCCGGACTTAATACTTCGGTAACGGGGACTCGGTTTTTTTGTTTATTTTGGGGTTTTTAAATTTTGTTTTGTTTTGCTTTTTGGTAAAGCAAAGGGTGGGGTTGCCTGTAGCAGGGAATCCCGCTTGCCCGTCATTTCGATAGGATTCCGGGTAAAAACTGATCAAAGCCTTGATTCTTTTCCTGCCACGGTATCCAAAGTCATTTATTGAGAAACACAAGCCGAGATTCGATTCTGGAATCAGATGGAGAAGACATCTCTCATCGCACTGAACACCAATTCCCCTGAAAACACAATCTCGGACCCGCTGGTTTGGGCAGGTGGGAGGAATAAACGTAAGATCAACTTAAACTTGCCTAGCCACAGTATTAAATATTTTAAAAAGTAATTCTGTTATGAAAAATTAATCTGGTTTCCTTCAATAGGGAAATTTTTAAAAAGCAACCTCTTAACTTCTTAAGGTTTTTATCTACAAGTTAAAATTGTAAGTACATCCCTGAAGATCAAAATTATAAAACACCTTGTTGAGATCATGTGTTCATTTAACACTGGAATTGTTTCAATTTGATTTTAAACACCTAAACAAACCCATATTTTCCCATCATTTTACATTCAGAGGATCTGTCATTTTTATAGTTTATCTTCCTGAAAGAGTTCAAAGTGTACTTTTACCCTTACTTGCTCACCAAAGAAAAAGCCAAACTTCTTTCTTATGTAGACAGGTACTTTTGGAAGTGTAAAAATACTCCTCTTCTCCTAGGATAATTTGGATTCCTGGTCATTGAAAATGCTGATTTCAAAAGAAAATACTCTACATTGGCACACCTTCCCTGAAATCCTATGGCTGAGATGCTGAGGTAAAAGAAGAAAGGTGTCAGGCACCTGTTTCTTAAAAAATATCTGGAATTTAACCGCCATCCCGGAAAGGAAAAGTTTGATCAAGATTGGTTTGGGGGATGGGAAACATTCAAAGCAGAGACTGGCCTCTTAATTACACTCTGAAAATAAACAAAAAACGAGCAAGTTATTTCGTTTACTCAGGGACTCAGTTACAATTCTTGAAGGACCTCGGAGGGCATTCAAGATGCTGCTGACAACGTTAAAACAGCAAGCAGCAGCATCTTCTGTTTTATTTTATTTTATTTTTTAACGTGGACGAATGGGAGAAGTAATTTGCTTGGTTTTCCACTGCCACAGAAGAAAGTTCTCTCTCTCTCTCTCTCTCTCTTTTAATCATGCTTCTCTACCTGTTTTACTATCTGAGAATCTAAAAAGAGTCCCAAACCCAAAAGGGGGTAGGGGGTGGCTGGGATGTGAGGAGAAGGAATAGGTTAGTCTTTATTTTTTATTGAATTAAAATTGTATCATCTCCTTTTTATTTTTTATTGAATTAAATTATATTATCTTTCAAGGATATAAAAACTTGTTTCCTCGCCCCATCTCCTTTTTGGAGGGTAATAAAGAGTTTTATCTAACCCCAGAGCAAGGTTCTCGCGATTTCCAGGACTGGCGCTGTGCATCTCCTACTGTGTCCAACAGGGGGCGCTGGTCACGAACCTGCGCCGCGGCTCAGCGCCGCTTCACATCTGAGCCGGGTTCCAGCCCCGGAAGGCGAGAGCCGCTCGCGGGGTCGAGTACAGAGCTTTAGTCTTCGTGGATAAAAAGAGATTAAAGGCTAAATTCTTTTTTTGGGTGTGTGTGTGTGGGGGGGAGGGTTATCAATTTTAACCAACTACGAAAATGTAGAGCTTTTTATCCTTTGATGTTCTTATAAAGAAACTCCTATTGGTTGAGGAATTACACGGTTTCTGAGCCAACACTGCAGCTACAGTGTGGGGGAAATTATTTAATTAAAAATATATTTTTCCATCTGTTCACATGATCTTTTTAGAAGTACTTAAAAAGCTGACACTGATCCCTTTGGCCTGTTAACCCTGCCCTAAGTTTCAAATACTTTAGCTATTTCGAAGGCCCTGCTATTAATTTGAAGGGGAAAAATAAGAGACCCAAATATTTAAATCCCCCCTAAACATTTACTGTTCTGCATCCTCCCCCTTTTTTCCCTGAAACAGTGGCTTTTGTGTGATTGACATATTTCACAACTGCCGATGCTGCAGGTATAAATGACAAGAAGCGGCTCTAAAAAAAATCTGATGTTGGACTACATAACACCCATGTATAAGATGAAATCTAAATAATATTGTAATCCACCCACCCCCCACCCTAACTTAAAAAAAAAAAAAACCCTTCACCTGTATTTAAATAGCGTGTCTTTAATTACAGCAGTTGGGGATGCATGAGGCTGAAATGAAATTAGCAGTCATTACCAGTCCTTTAACTCTGTGGTGCTTTTGATCAGCACTAAATTAGCTTTCCAGTCCTAACAAAGACTCTACAGCAAGCAGTGGGCTGTAAATAAGACAGCGCGACCTGCCCTCAACACCTTTTCTCTTGTCAATCATAGCTCTATCATTCAGCCCAAGATTAACCTTTATCTACCAAATTAAAAAAAAAAAAAGAACGAAAGAAAGAAGAAAAAGAAAAAAGAAAAAGGAGGCAGGAAGGAAAGCCCCCTGACCACCACGTATCGCAATAACAGAGGTTCCTAAGAGGCCCCTTTAAATTGTATTCTAATGAGCTTGTGTCAGAATCTGCAATTTCCAAATCATCCCCCCCACCAGCCCCCAAGACCTCTTCAGTATATTAGAAGAGTCAGAATGCTGTTCAGGTAGGAAAGGAATCCCTTTCTCCGAATTACAATTGGGCATGGGCCACCCTCCATAGGTCAATCTGCCAATAGCCTCTCCTCCTCTATTAGTCTAACAAAATTTTGGGAGAGGAGATGTTTGAGGAGAAAACATTGATAATTTTAAAGCATATACATAAGTTTCTGGGATGAAAACAATCAATTTACTCCACTAATAGTCTCTAGTTTCTAAGCCTGCAGAGAAAAACGACCAACAGCAACAACAAAAACCCAGCTGCTTTTCCCAGTACTGAATTAAGAAAGTAAAACATTGGTTCGGATTGCCATTAGAGGGCGCCAGAGAGCAAGTCCCATCACCTCTCGCACAACTTCCCACAGAAGCCCTCCTAGCTTCCAGCTCCGCCATGCTCTGTGATTCCTTCTCTCAGGTAATATTTCCTGCTTATCCTGTCCTCTTGTATCTCTAGCCCCCTCAGTGTCAATCTCTATAAAGAATGAGGTATTGCCATGTCCCTTTCCTTCTCTTTTTTCACACCCCTCCCCCCGCCCCAACTACCACCAAAATAGTAAGACGCCAGATGAAATAGTAGCAACCCCTTAATGATATGTACCTTTGGGCTCAAATCACTCTTTCCATTCTATGTAACCCTGGTCTGGAGAAGGATTTTTTTGTAGGGATGAGCTGCTAGAATTTGACATTTTTAAGATGGAAGCCTGAAATGTTCATTTCTGCATTTCTCTCTGGGGGCTCACGGATTTCTTCATTTTCAAAGAAAAAGGAACACATACACCCTTGCAAGGCAACTGATTATGTTCAGCACTAAAACTGTTCAGAAGAGAATAAAATAATGTCTTCATTTCTGCATTTATTAAAGAAATCAAAATTAGCATTTAATTCCAAAAGTTAACGCTTTCAGACTTAAACCTGCCTGTGTTAAATGCCTGCCACACAGGGTGTATTACCAGATCTCTTAAAGGTCAAAAGAAAAAAAAAATAGAATGAGAGGGGAAGAAAGTGAGTTGGGGGGGTGGGCGGAGAGGAGTGAGCTAGCAGTGAATGTCAAAGTTGGGTTGCAAGCTACTTACATGTCCATGCCAGATCAGGGTGTTGTCTTGTAGCAGTTTGATTGGCAGGTAAAAAAGCGAAAGAACGTGAGGGCTTCCTGAGCCTCTTGTCAGCCCAAGCTTGATCACTTCTCACCGGACAGAACGAGTTGAAGGAGCTTGCAATTCCCCTCTCGTCCTCCATCCAAGGCACCGTGAATCCATTTCGGCTTTTCTTCCCCCCAGTCTCTCCATCAGCCTCCTGCCTTCACCCGCTTCGCCTTGCACCAGCCTCCAAGACCTAGCCTAGCTTTGCCACTGCAATCCCCTGCAACAAGAAAAATCGTTTATGGCTTAAAACCCCAAATGGCTGATTTTTTAAAAGAGAGAGAGAGAGAGAGGGAGAGGGAGAGAGAGAGGAGTGAGAGGGTGAGGGGGAGAGAGGGGGAGCGAGAAGAATGCACCCAGAGAACAACAAAAAAGTCAGTTATCCTAACACTGCTCTATCCCCCCACCGTACAGAAGAAGAATAAAAAAAAAAAGCTTTATGTTTTTTCAGTGGGTATTCAAAGATAATTTGATGCCATTGTTTCTGCTACAGATGGTTCTTTTAAATACAATAACACGGCTCTTTGTGCAGGCTACCCACAATAAAAATCGAAAGCGTTCCCCTGAATAACCATTTTGTTCTCTCTTGTATGGGGCCAACAAAAGATGCCGTGAGGTAATGGGTTCTGTTTATTGAAGCCATAGAATAGGGGTTTGATAAAGATTTTTTTAAAGCAGAAGACCTTGCAAGGTCGGGCTGATCTCTTCATATTTTTTTATTAAAATATTTGTCCAATAGATTATTCCTTGGTGCAGCTGCAGGTTTCCTCCTCAATTTTTAATCAGCCCAAACATCTGTCTCTTTGAGGAGGCTTTAAAAAAAATCTGCAATTGTATCAATGGTGCAGTAACCTTATCAAATCCTGAGTTTTTAGGCTCAGTGCAGGCAAAGGCAATGGAGTTTCAATTCCATTTGGGGTGGGGTGAGATGGGCTTGGGGGAGAGGAGACACAACAACCCCAGACGGAGCGACTGAAGAAAATGAGGCTTTCCTCCCACCCCCCCTCCCCACGCCCCTGTTGACCATGCACAACTTGCATGAGTCAGACACAGATTACTGAGTACTTGAGGTATCTCTCCTGATCTCTGCAAGCTCCCACCCCTGCGTGCATGTTGGACGGGGGGCTAGGCATGTTTTCTTACCATGCTTGCCTTCTCCTCTGGCTAGATCTCCAACCCTGAAAACCTAGGATGGGAGCCCAGGGGGAGGAGTGGAACAAGCTAAAGGCTAGTCTCTAGCACCCAAAGGGTCCCATTCTTGGCTCTCTTTCATTCACTGTTAGCTAGCTTTGACTCATTGATTGCTATCCTGCCAGGGGACTGGTGGCCACAGCCCGCCTGTTACAGCGCCCCATCCCCTCAGGCTTGTTCTTACAGCCACCCTGCTTCCTCCCCGGTTCCATGCGGAGCCTCTGCCTCTCCTAGGCGGGCAAGCCCTGCCACGTAGACCTAGCTGAGGTCAGTATCAACTTTGAGAGAGCCTCAAACCCTTAGGCAATGAGGGCGCTGCAGGGGGAGATGGCTAGGTGTGTCTACCTTTCTATAGGAATTAACGTCAGGGCTCTCCAGGCCTCCAATAGCCCAGAGTGATAGTAATCCACTTTCATGACTTGGGCTCTGTGTGTTGTCACTTGTAGCAAGACAATAGTCTGGGAAAATGGCTTTAATCATAAAAACAAGTTTTCATTGGGTTCTCTTTCTCTGCCCTTCGCCCCATTTAGTCTTCCTTTTCTTCCCACAAGCCAGTCAAAATAAAAGAAAGATAAACGCTCAAATGAATCCCTTGACAAAACGACCTTTGCTTTTACTTTCCCTCCTGGAAACAATAATGTTATTGGTTTACATCTGGTCTTGAAGTCATCTAATAAGGGATTCTTGGGGGACTATTACTTAGACACCTGTTAACAGCCTTCCCTATGAAACTTGAAAAACAAACGCAAAAGAAAGGGGGGCAGAAAATTAAACAAATGTTCACATGGTTGTTCCTCAGTAATTCATTTTATATGTCAGGGCAAACACCTTAATATGAGTTTGAGAAGAATGAAAGGGCAATACTAAAAAAGTTATGCACACCCCAACACTCTCTAAATCAAGAAAAGTGTGTTTGTATAAGTAAGGTCAGTGTGTTGGGGAGGGGAAATGAAGAGTGTAAATCAAGAGCCACCTTTAATAGAACAGGCTAAGGAGTGTGTACCTGTGACTTCTGGCACCGAATGAAAGGTAGGGAGCATTATGCAAAACTGAAAGTCAATAGTAGAAACACTTCTTCCAACTAAAGGAGTGGGAGACGGCAAATGTAAATATTTAATCCAGTGTTCATAACTTTGCCCTAAAAAAGTAATCCACTGAAATAACCTGGAATGATCTCTTCCTGCTTCCCTTGTCATAGTTTTTTCTGAACATCAAAACTTATAAAAGATGCCCCAATCTGATATAAAGCTATGTTTCTTTTTTCTTTCTTTTTTTTTTTTTTAATGAACTAAAAGAAGAATTGGAATTGCTGTCCTCTTTCCACTGAGGGAGGGGCTTGGGGCCCGAATCTAAGTCTGTAAGACAGGAAGGCATCAGTGAGTAGCCTAAGGTGGCTAAAGGTGAATAAACCTCACACATTTTATCAGTTAAATCCATTCAATCCCAGCCATAAGGAAGTTTAAACTCTCTCAAATGACCTCATTTTCTTGCGAAGGATCAGGAAGATCGTTTTGTAGGCAAGTCCCCTTGCTGGAATGCAGTGACATTCTATCTGACATGGGGGAAGCCTCAGCCTTGAACTAAAAAAAAAAAAAAAAAGTGTAATGTGTTAAGGTGAAGGGCCAAAGGGACAAACTGTCTTGGTAGGTGAAGGAATCCAGAACGAGGCCTCTGCAAATGGAAAACTGCTTTTAAAATAAACTTTCTGTATCCAGAAACTAAGCTGACCGGTCAGCTCCTTTTCTTAGAGCAAACACACACTACCAAAACGATTCTAAGTTGTGGAAACGGCTTTCTAATGAGATTGGGGAGTCCGTGTGAACTGAGTTATGGGCGTTTATAGGTGGCTCTGAATTGGAAACTTTACTACTGAGACGTGCTTTGGGGCCAAAGCCGCGCTCCCCAATTCTACAAGCCCGAAGCTGTCCTGGGGAGATGTGGGGTTTTACCCCAGACTCCTAGACTGGGATGCCGGTGAGTGAGTGGCATTCAGCACGAACGACTCAGATTGAGGAAGGATGGAAGGGAGGGAGGGCGGGAGGAAGGAAAGATGGAAGGGAAAGAGAAAGGGAAAGGAAAGGTAGAAAGGGCACAAAAAGGAGGATTTATGCGAACTAATGGCAGAGAGGATTAGCAAGAGGGGCAACCGGGACCTGGTTTTAAATTGGCGAGTGCTGCTTGTAAGGAAACCCTGTACGCACGATCAGGGTCTAGATGTTCCAGCGACCCAATGGCCATACACATCACGACTTTCACAGAGATGGCATAGTGTCATGCGTTAGCCACCAGCTACCGTGCAAGCTACAGCTTCCTTCTCCCCAAGCAATCAGTCATCCACTAACTGGCCGCTCTACCCTCTCGCACGTGGAAGTCAGTCGGACCGGGACGGCTCCCCCGCCCCGCCCCGCCCCGGACCCTCGGCCTGGCTCGGGCTCTGCGGTCTCGGCCTGCCGGCCTGGCGCGGGCTCTCCCGGGGCCCGGTGGCGCGGGGCGGACGGCGGGCCAGCAGTTTCTCCCCTGCACCCGCCAGCGGGGCTCCACAGGAGCGGCCGCGCCAGGTCGGAGCGGGCGGCTGCTTCCCCCATCTGTGCAGGCGTGTAACGGCGAGTGCTATTAAATATACCACGGGACTAGGAACGTGTTGCTCCTCTCAACTCGCCCACCTCGATGCCATTATTCACTTGCGCCGCCACTTGACGCACAGTGCAAAATGGGCCGCGCCGCCAGGCAGACGTCTCTGCCGGACACGACCCGGGGAAGGACGTGGTTCGATGCCAGCTCTGCAGATTCTAAGCTCTAACCCAAGAGAGCGAGCGCGCGTATCAAGGACTGGAAGCCTTATTTTTCAGAGCCTCTGGAACAAGCTTCTAGTCGGAGCCTCGCCCTTCTGTCCCCCCACCCCCACCCCCATCGGTCCTTTCCGTGGTCAGGGAAACCCGAGGGGCACCTGGGGCTGGGGGGGTACGAAGGAGCCTTCTCAGACCCCGCGGACCTTCTCGTTTTTCTGGGCCCTGCGGGGTGGGTCCGCCTTGACCTCTTTCGCTCGCGTTGGTAAGCGGAGGCTCGGCCGGCGGGCCGCCGCGGGTTCCCCTGAGCCCGGGAGGCGCCGCGCCCCCATCGGCCCGCAGGCCCTCGCGCGCCGCCCCATTTCCCGCGCTCTCCGCCCAGGGTTTCCGCGCGGCTCTGTTCCGGGCGCGCGAGGCCTGCATCACCCGGCCCGGCCCGGAGAGGGAAGGTTAAGGCCCCTTCACCGACGGACGGGCGGCGCCGGCCGAGCGAGTGGAAGCCTGGGTCCTTGCGGCCGCCTGCAGGCCCGGGCTTTCCAGGCCGCCCTTCCCCCCGGGCCTCGCGGGCCGGCGGGTGGGCGGGCAAGGCCCCCCGGACGCGAGGCTCAAAGGTCTAAGGGACGTTGGCAATCGCTGTTCCTCCGCGGGAGCGCACAGCGGGGCCACTGTGGTTTGTTCTCTAGTGCGTCGCGCGTGGAAACGCGAGCTCCGGAGAGTCCTGGGAGCGTTGGGAGGCGTGCATCTCCCCGAGGCCTGGACATTGGTCACCTCGGGGCCCCGGGGACGGAAAGTCGGGAACCAAGCTCGCGCCAACCCGGCAGCGGCGCAGACGCGCCCTTTCGGAGGAGGGCGGCCCCCAGGCCCGCCAGCCCGACCTGGAAAACCCAGGTGGCAAAGGTGGGAGTGCGGGCTCCAAGGTGGCCTGCTTTCCTAGTGGCCACTCAGCAGGGTCTTCCTTCCTCCCCGCGGGAAAACTTCTGAACTCCCTCAGGTTCCCTCAGCCTTTGTTTCATGCTAAGACAGACACTGGGGTCTAGAAAGAGGTGTGCTTTTATAACTAAGAGGAATGTTGGAGGAGCGAGTAGAAAGGCCTATGGGGTGCATTCATCAATAACGTCTTTTAAATTTGCTCGTTAGAGGGGTGCTTGGCTCAATGGGAAGAGCGTGAGACTCTTGATCTCGGGGGTCATGGGTTCTAGCCCCACGTTGGGTGTCGCGATTACTGAAAAAAAATGAATAACAT